CTAGGGGTTCGGTGCATTCGGTCATCTTGTTGCATCAGGCTGTGCTGCAAGGTCTTGGAGCTTCTTGCTTAAAACCTGCAAACCCCTTGTGGGTGGAGGATCAGTCTTGTCATGAACGGGAGCCGAGGCAGGAAATGACGTTGCCTCCACGGTGCTCAGCGACTTGATCTCCTGTTCTAAGGACAGCGGGACAAATGCAGTTAGCAGATGCCGTCGCAGGACTTGCAACGCACCCCAGGTCCTGCCTTTTCCCGAAAACCACTCTACTGCCTCAACAAGAAGCCCTGGTCCTCCGGCGAAAAATACATGAATCGCACCTGCGTGGCCTGACACGGGCAGAGTAATTATCCGTCCAGAATTCATGTCTTCCGTGCCCATCCACAATGCAACTGAAACCAAGAACCGAAAGGTGGTGCCTTCTGTAGGGGTCCTTCTGCTGTTTAGGGTTCCTTACACGCTGCTAGAGCCTAACGACCGAAGCTCAGACCCTGGATGCCTAGATCCTAAACCTTTGAAGCACCAAGAACAAGCTCATAATGCCTAACCCTAGCCTAACCCCAACCCTAAACTCTAAACCTGAAGCCCCCAAACTTTCCCAAACCCAGGCCCTACAGAAGAAATGCGTAAACCGTGATGCCCTCACCTCGCGGCTGCAGGAGGATCCCGAGAAATCGTAGGGCGTGGCAGCATCCATGGCTCCTCAGGAAGACCTCGAGCTCTCTTCGTAAAGAACGCTGGCTGGAATGAAGGATTCAAGGGCCTTTACAGAGTTCATCGGGCATCTGCAAGTGTGGTAGGAACTTATCAGGGCTTTGTAAGCTTTCTTTACTAGGGCTTCACAAGGGTTTACTTTGCATGTTATAATGTGGCTAGCGGCTAACCTAGCCTACGTTACCATCATATCTACTACATATCTCTAGATCTGGTGTGGAAGGCTGAGGGTTCAGAGCTTTGCGGCTGTAGGTTCAGATGTTTAGGATTTTAGTTTAGGCTCCGTGAGACTTTTAAACGTCCGAGATTTGGAGATGCTCGGATTTTAGGCCTGCGCTTCATTTTGGACAGGAACAGCTTCGCCTCGAGTTTCGGCGGAACTGTGTCCGGGGACTGTAGCTATGGCCAGCGTGAATCCCCTGTGTATCTCCCAGCGACCTCGATGCGATCTGACATGGCTGCCGGGAGCTCGGCTGTGGAGCTCTTAGGGTAGAGGGCCACTCTTCGCTCAGCTGGCGAGCCTTTTGGTATGGGTTTTGGGCAGAGCATGCCGTGGCATGCTCGCGCATGCGTGGGAGGACCTCGAGCCTCCCACCTATCGTGGTGCTCTAAGCCTTGGTCTTTGTGGCCGGACGCATACCGTAGTTGGTCCGGTACTGGCATGTTTTCATGATGCCAAAGATCCACTGCAAACACAGACAGGTGGATTCCTGGATGACGGATGATGACGGCATGCGGGCACACTTCCCATTGGTCCTGGTCTGGATCCTGGTGGTACTTGTGCTTGCCTTCTTTGCCGGGCCGTGGCCGCTTCTGGCTATTGCGGTTTCCCTTCAGTGCTTCTCTAGTGAAGTTTCATGACCCGTGCTCTGAGGAAGATTGCTTGCAACGGTGCCGCCTACTCCTTGTTCTCGCCGGGGGGTGGTGTCGTCTCCACCTTTGCTTGGAGGCACTGGGTGGCGCTTCGAGTCGCGTGAGACCATGTGTATGTACATATATATATATATGTATATGTATATGTATATGTATAGGTATAGGTATCGTGATCGCCTTCCGGAGTCCTTCGCAGCCAGTCCTTGCCTCGTGGCAAAGGCGGCTACTAGGCACTGCTAATACCCCTCGTGGCTTTGGCCCTCCGCACCAGTTTGGGCTTGTTGCGGTTGCGGTCTTTTTTGGGCTTTCCTTGGGTTCGCTCTGGGTTTGCCGTTGCCTTTGCGGGGTTCCTGTTTCGGCGCTTGGGTCTTCGTCGGATCTTTGACTTTCGGTTGTTTGTTCTGATTCATCTCGCCTGGCCATGGCGCCACATCCTTTGTTGGCACGGGACCTTCGGACCCTTACGCGCATGAGTGAGTCAGTTAAGGGGTCCGCTGGAGGTTTAGGGCTCCTAGGGCTTCTAAGGGCTTTGGGGTTTCGAGGTTTAGGGGTTCACGGTCTGGGACTTCCCTCGCGGTGTGTCCCAAGGCTTTCAAATTCAAATCCTTCCTGCAGCAAAGGGGCCAATGCCGCGCATCGGACAGCGGAGCAGTGCCATGCGACTTTGTTGCACCGATTAAGGTTTGCTTGGTAATCTTGTAGTCATGGACTTGAAGTGGCTGGCTTCGGTTGCAAATGAACTGTCTGTGTCTGGGCCAAGCCCGCTCGAGGTTCCCAGCTGCTGGGACTAAATGGGGATGCAGACTGGTTGGCTGACGAAGACACGATTTAATGCTGACAATCGACATCGCCGTTCGAAGGGCTTGCAGAACTTGCAGCGGGGTGCTTAAGCCTCGCGTCTCCTCCGTGCGCTTGGGGCTTACGTCTTGTGCGGTCTCTCGCAGCTTTGGATTTTCCGTCCCACCGCAACCGGTCAGAAGCTCAAGGAAACATCTGTTTTGAGTGTCACAACTACCGGCGCTGGGCTTTCACGTGACGCAGGGACCTCTTGCATAAGCAGGTTGCCAGCACTTATGTCCGCGTCCCAGGCTGTCCTCAGGGCAACCTCGAGGAGAACGAATTTTGGTGAAGCCTCCAGCACAATGATTTTGCTTGCTCTTCCACAGCCACCCCGTCTCAGCACGGGTGCAACAGCAGCAAACGTCAGGTTCCCAAATCGGCAGTGCAGCGGTCTGGTTCACCTGCGTCCGGATCTCTTGGAGGTGGCGCTCCGATGCATGGAAGTCTCCTTTGCGAAGAGCCGAAACGATGCCAAGAAAGGAGCACAGGCCGATATGAAGCCTCATGGATGCGGATGGCCAAGTGTGTGGATTTCACAGGTGAACGAAAGAGGCCGAACCCAGCAGCTGGAGCCAAAACGGCCAAGCCATCTGATAATGAGGTTCCCCGGCATGTTCCCAGAGACACTTTTCCTTTTGCCTAGCCCCTCCTTAAAATGACTCACATGCCATTCTGTGTGTACCCCTCAACCATTCGAACAGGTTTTTTGGGGGGATATGTATCATAGCTTTTAGGGACGATGAGATACTGCCGGAAATGTTCCAAGGCCCTAGAAGCTCATTCCAATCCGCACATCAGAGCAGACTCTTTGCCAAGGGTCGCTGCGTGTGCCCCTCCGTGCAGCGCTGGCATTTCTTCACGAGTTCAGCCCTCCTACTGTTCTGAGTTTTTCGTGACCGAGTTCGGGTTGGGATTCCTTGCAAGGGCCGGCAAGGATCTACCTTTTGCTGCTGCCAGCTCTGCGGATCTCTTGCCTTGCCCCTGCTGCTGCTGGGCCTGGCATCGGCGGGCAAAACAGGAGAAGGGTTAAAAAGTGCATGCGGACACTTTGGGACGTCGTACTTGACAGCAAGACCCCTAAATCCTACACCCACAACGCCTTCAACTCCGAATCCCGGAGTGCGCTAGCCTGCAAGCAATGGCTAGCAGCCTGATCGAGCCCTCGGCCGAAGTGGCTGCTAGCCGCTAGCTCTGCCGAGACCTCTTCAGCTCCACACAGGGTTTTCATAGGCTCTTGCAGGACCTAAGGGCTTCATTAAGGGCTCCATGACTCTGTAAAGTTCACTTAAACAGGGTTTGCCAAGATCCCAAGACAGCTCTGGAAGTGCGTTTTGCTGGCGGCTCTTGGAACATCTGGGAACGTGCAAACCCGGATGTGATACTTCAGGTTTATGGCTTGGGGATCTTGTAAGCGCCTTTCCAGGACCAGAAATCTAGAATCTAGAATCAATCTGGCATTTGTCTAGTCACACGTACCCTGAGCCGTGAGGTTGCAAAGCCATCGCTCGAAAGCAAACGAGCGAGAGAGGTCAGGGCATCGATTGTGTATCCGCACTGAACAGGAAAGTTAATTTTGAATTTCTAAAACCCCGAAACCCTCAAGCTGAGGGTCCATCTTCTACCGATGAAGAGGCAACCCATGTCACACCGTACTCTCAGACGAGTCCCCCGAGCCGTCATCCTAAACAACTGCATCCGGGAAACAAGCCGACAGCACTTGGCATAGCCCGGCATGGGAGTGCCCAAGATCTGACCTGAACAAGGCGAGCCCCCGGCCCGCGAGCCACGCTGAGGCTGCGAGAGAGGTCTCTGCATCTCTTGCACAGAAAAGTGTTCTGAGACCTTGGCTCTTGGCCGCCTTGAGAAGTTGCCTTTTGCTTCGGCTCGCGCGCACATGGAACACCTCTTTCAAGCGGCTTGAATCCAAAAACTGGGGTCGGCAAACTCCCTGCCTTGAGTCCCAGCAGGGCTTTGGCACGCCTCATCCGTCCTCACAGCTTCTTATGACAATAAAGTATACGTGTGGTATATAGAAGGCGCTCACACGAGCCCTGAGACATCACTGATTTGTTGTCATGTGTTTCCCTCCATCCCCTGCAACTACACCATTCTGGATGAGTCCGACTTTCACAGATAGGCATGCCTCCTACAACACCAAACGAGGCAATCCTGTGCGCATGATACAAAATCTCATCAATTTCACAACGCTGGTCCCCACTCTACAGCCAATATTGGTCTCACACTTGCATCTCTCTCTCCTTGAGTCTTCCTTGTTCGCAGCAGCGACAAGAACTCGCCTTATGTTTGAAATAGCTTGTACGCTGTACATACATCATAGGCTATAGGCACAGATTATAAATTGTCAGGAGAACGCCTTCGCAGCTTCAAGCTGGCACTTGGGCTGTCCCGAAGCCACTGAAGTTGGAATGCAGCACGCTCTCGGACCAGTTCGGTCACTGCATCAGCCAGCCCAAAGCGAGCATCATGACGAAAAGCCTCTTCCAGGCATGAGACGTGTTTCCATTGGGGTGGGCGGGTAGTGGCACGCATGCCACGTATCTGGCCATTCTCCAAAATCATGGACTCCGGTACACACACCGACAACAGCTTCTTCGTCCAGTGGCCGTCGAAGCTGGCGGTAGCCACACCTTCTGCACTATCAGCCACCTGAGAGCACACAACCGTGCCAGTAACCACTTGAAAAGGCAGTTTCTTATGGTTGACTCCACGTCCACCCGTCGCTCGAAGTCACGTCCAGCAATCCGTTGAGCAGCATGTGAATCCGATGGCAACCACAAGTTTGGAGACGGGCATGTCTCTCCCAGCCCTCTCCTAGAGGCCTCGTCCTTGAAACCCTGGATCAGATTCTGTACAACCTCGAGCCGAGCGAGGCGCTGAAAGTCCACCTGGTGCCTAGCCGAGAAGAGCGCTCGACCCGTCCAGGCCTCATAGTTCTCCGGTGATGTGAGGCCGGCCAAGATGTGCACTTCTTCATCTGAAAAGTCCTGGAGCCTGATGCCCTGCATCACTTCTTCAGCACACAGACGTCGAAGAGTCTTGCGACTGACGCCGAAACGATCTTGCAGTACGTAGCCTGGGCGCAACAGGCTCTTCAAGCCTATTCTGAAAGTCTCTTGTGTCAAAATCTGCCCCACCAGATCTGGCGACTCTCCTGACTTCCTTATTCTGGAGTAGTTGCAGGCAAGACAACATGCAACACATGAGTGCCAGGGCCGACGGCGAGATCGTATCGAGCAACACAGCCGAACTGTGATAAACATGATGCTACCCAATCATTGTCTCCTACCAGGCCGAAGCCTCCGAGAAAGGTGCATCTTAACGCCAATTTTCGGTAAACCCCGACACCTGCACCCAGCCTATACACGCACATCAGACAACCAGGGCAGCGACCTGCATCCACGACGAAGTCGTCCAAACGACTTCGGAACAAATGTGCCGCCTTGGTCCACTCAGGCACCAAGAGGATGTCGGCTGTCTTCGGCCTGTAGATGACCAAGCAGATAGACTCCAAAGCCGTGAAGGGCTCTGAATGTGGCTGCAGCTGAGTGCATGCTACATAGCCGGGCTGGTTCTTCACAGACTTGCCACTAAGGGTGGACAAGATGGACTCCACCCTGGTCTTGCATTCCAGACGGATCCTGAAGGCTTGCCCAACTGCCCCCTGGCTCAGCTCTGTGTTTGCAGCAAGGTCAGCCGTAATGCCGCATAGCTCGGTGCTGAAAAAAGCTCGTCTGTCACGATCGGGATGAGTCTGGCTGATGTCCTTAAGTCTTGCCACCAAGTCTGCTGGCAAGTTTAGGATCTGTGCATTGTTCTGAATGTTCCTTTCTCCTTTGCCATCTGCACGACTGGGCCCGGCACCCCTGACTCCCTTTGGCTTGCCACCCTTGCCTCCGGACAGCACGCCTTTGCTGCCGGTGCCCTTTCCTTTGCCTTTCATTCTGTCCTTTTTGGCCTTCATGCACGCCCCCCAGAGCTCTGGGTACTCCAGCACCGAAACTTCCAGACGAAGTACACTGCACAGTGGATCTCGCAGAGAAGCGATGAACGGATTCTTGCCGTCAGTGCGGCCGAACTCCATCGCCATGCTGACAGAAATCAGAGTCACTGTCTCCAGCGCAGGGGCAGTGCGGATAGCTTTTGCAAGATGCTGGAGCTGCCCCGGAGAGAGACGTGTCTTGCCTTGGCTTCGCAAGCACATTCCTTGTGAAGAGGCTCCAGAATTCAGCGCGCACACTCGGCTTTGGAAGCTGACGACGATATCCCTTCCGACAATGTCCTGCAGGAAGTGATGTCTTGTCCGCAACTCCCCGAGAGTATAACTTTCTACAAAAGCAAGGACCGCCGACACCAAGGCCACCCGGAATGCCGGTCGTGGCTGATCATATTTAATTTACGGGACATTCGACGCGAAACGTGAGGGACACTGTTCAGCTGGCGGACTGCACAACCTTAGAAACCAACTGAAGACAATGCCCAAAGGGACATACGAGCGATTATGAACTCCCCAGGCAGGATCAAGCACGATCCGAGTACCGAAGAATCCGCACTACCTCAGAACCAGTCCTCATGCCATGACACTGTGCTGGTGGCCCAATTTCTGCCAGGTCGTTTGCGGCCAAAGCGATTTTCTCAATGCCTCCGTCTCGCACAAGAGCTGACACCTCCTTCAGCATTGCCGTCGTCATACCTAACAGGTCCACACACAAGCGATTTATGGCTGCATGAGGAAGGGCTGAGTTTAGCCTCATCGCAAGGGCTGTTGCTCAAGCAGTTCGAGCATAATCCGCCTTGCCGAGGTTTCCGTCTGCAGTCGGGTACATGCTGAACAGAGGCGTGTATACAAGCTGAAGCTTTGGTGCAAACTACGTACCGATGCCCAGTAGAGGTGGGGGTTCGACGCGAGTGTGAACGATCATGAATCTGATAGGAGCTGCGCAATGGCAGAGCGATCCACAATCGTTCACATGGTTATTCAGCTCAAACGTCTAAGATCCCGACCTGTGCCACTGATGTTGAGGCTCAGGACTTTGCCATGCATGCTTGGCAGGAGCGTTTGAAGCCCCTCATCACGCAACGGGTTGCCACCAAGCTCAAAGAAGGCAAGCCTGGGGGAAGCTGATCATTTCAATCTCGGAGATGGGCATCTCAGGCTCTCATAATTTCGACACTCACGGCAGGGGTGACAATGTGGCCCCAGTTTACAAGTGCCAATGACGAGACATCCATGAGTAAAAGCTGCTGAATGCTGCTGATACTTGCTGCAGGATGTTACAGGAACAAGGTCCCTTCCAATTTAGGATCGAGAAGCACAATGAACCATGTGCCGACAGCAGGATCAAAATCGGTCGGTCAAACATGCTCGTTCGAAAAAGCTCACAATCCAATATGTTCCCCCTATCACCGGACAAACTGAACACGATGCCCCGCCTGTGCGGCAAGCTGTCAAAGAAGTGCTTCAAAGGTGTCGCCGACCCTGCTCCTAGGCAGCAGTACTCCAGCACCAAACGCTCCAGGTTGACATTTGTCACCAAGATTTCGAGGACGCGAGGAAGGACCTGGAGCTGCAAATCATGCGGGCATTGACCTTGAAAGCGAGGACACAATGGCAGCAAAGGTGCGGATGGTAGGTCCACGTACCTGGAGACGAAGTCCGAACACAGTAGCGGTCCCTGCAGGTGTCGTTGGATGGCCTGGGCTTCGACGCCCACCGGTAGAAGAACCTCTGACAGCGAGGAGGCTGAGGGAAGCTGGGCATTTGCCTCCTCAACGAAGGCGCGGCAGCTGCAGCATGGCATTTTGGTGCGTACCCGTCGACAAGCTAGTGCCACATCCAAGCAGGCTTGCTGCAATGCTGTCACATCACCGCCTGTCTCCAATGCCAGCTGCTGTGAACGAATGAAGCCACTGAGCTCGGGCAGCTCACCGAAAGCATTTGGTATGTCACATAGCTGCTCGACACAGCCGAGCCCCTCGAGGACCTAGGCATGCAAAGTGTGTCTTCGCAGCATAAGGAACAAACAGAACAAACAGCTTGACAACCAATACAGGGCCGATGTCGAACGAAAACAAATTGACAGAAATCCCAGGTGCTGCTAGCACGTTGGTTTGACCCTCCCATGCCACCAGATGAAGCACAGACATTTGGTGCTTGCAGCGGTAGCCCAGCCCATCACGAAAGCCGTGCTCAACAAGCCATTTCACTGCTGACGCCCAGCCTTGCTTCGCGCAGTGCTGCAGCAATGGGCAGTCTGCTGGATTCTGAAGCAACAGCGGTACAAGGGAACTCTCCACATTGAGCAGATCAAGTCTGAAGGTCTCGTCCAATGCGCAGATGACGTCATTGTCGTCCATGGCTTTCTCCAAGAGCTCCAGAAGTTGCTCGTACTTTATCTTGGCGCTATCCTGCTCCTGCTTGGAGACGAAACCTGCCTCGAAGTGCACGGCTTGCCTCGATGTCAACTTGTTTCAATGATACTTGTATGTTAGTTGTAAACCTGTGTCGTGATTCCTGGTCGAGAGTTACTCCTAGAGCCGCCTGACTTCTTTCTATGGGCGATCAGACATACTTGCTATCTTCGTAGGTTCAACGGTGCCTGAAACCGTACGAGTGCTTCAATAAAATCTATCGTAATAGCAGAAGTCATCGTAATTTTCATAGCAGCCCAGGTTCACTGTGCCCCCTGGTCGGTCTGCATTCGTGATGACGATTACGCCTCCCAGCTCGAAGCGCCAATGTTGCCTGAGAAACCACATAATATAATATAATACAATATAATATAATATAATATTTTTGTAATACAGCTTCATGCACCACTACATACCTTTGAGGGCTGCTCAGAAGAAAAGGCTTTAGGCTTCCTGGCAGCCTTGTTGAGTGGTTCCCCGACTCCATAGAAACCCGCACAGCTTTGTGAAGACTGAAGCTTCCCACGAAGCTTCACTACTTGTCGCTCATGTGAGCCTGGCTGCTCGCCCATGCCAGTAGTGAAAGTGGTTTTGCGTCCTCGTGCAACACAGCGCCTGGCAGCAAGATAAGATCCAGGTTAGGTCGTGTACAGGGTTAAGGCAATACCTGCGCATATGTGTGTATATATATATACACACACACAAATATACACACACGCACACACATACTTGCTGGAGACTCGGGAAGCTGATCTGCATGTGCAGGTGAACTTCTACGCGACACGAAAACATCCCGAGTGCAATTCTTCGTGCAGGGCCCAGAAGGGCGAATCATTCCACATGTATTTTCTGCTAACAACCTGACATGGAAAAGAGTGCTTCGTGGAAGATGCTGTCAAAACCAATTGTCCCGGGAGTGACACTGGCCACCCATGATGGTGGTGGTGATGGTTCTGCTGTTCATGCCGATGAATAGAATGATCACGTGCACCGCAGCGAGAGTTGAGCCAGAGTCGACGGTTGTAATCATTCTAAGCATGAACGTGACGATGAGGAGGAGGTGGAGGAGGCGGAGGCGGTGGCAAATGAGAGCGGCACCATAGCAGCAGTCTTCATGGTGGTGTTGTTTGTGTTTTTGGTGACGATGATGATGATGATGCTGATGACGGTGGTGCTGTAGCACCACACCTGCGCGTACGGCGCATCCACGACCCGACCGGACTGTTGTGTGAGCACGATTTTGGTGGTAGCCAGCGGCTATCACGGACTCTGACGAGATCACACCCCTTACGCAGGAACCGCGAGATAACCTGCCTGTCATCCGATATGAGCACCGCACCAGCAAGGTCACCACACTGGAAACTGTTCGAGAAAGTGTTCAGTCATTGCATGCCAACATCTGGATTTGGGTCCCACCAACAATCAACTACCGCATTTACACCCGTGCGAAATCTCGACCCACCATCCCAGAAAGGCCTGATCAAATACTCGTCTATCTCGAAGCTGAGAAGCCTTCCTTGAAGGCGCACGGCTGAAGTTCCACCACTGAAGCCCGTGTTCAGCGAGTTCGCTGATGGAAGCAAAGACATGTGTGACAGTTGGTCCCAACCATCGTCATCAAAATCCACGACATCCGGGAAATTGGATGGCATGGCTGCAAGCGAGTGCTTAAACGACAGGAAGCTGCATGCAGAAAGCTGCAATAAGCTTGAGCTGAGCTTCTGCGAGGTTTTGCGCTCAGTGAGCTTGTCAAGCTCTAGACCGACTCCCGACCTGACCTGTAGCTTTGGCGACCCACTGAATCCAAAGGTACTAGTGTACTAGGGACTAGCGCCACGGCCTCCTGTCCTTGTAGGCCATGCTCACATACAGTCTCCGAGTCGACATCTACAGTCTCGTGGCTCGCGACGATCAGTCCTTAGTCTGCTGTCTGTTTCTTCTTATTTTGATTGCTGTCGCCGTTACTTGTGCCATTCTCACCATCGCTGTTTGCCAGGCCAAAGCTCAAGTCTCCGGCGCCCTCCGCAAGGTCACGGCTCTTTGGTGATGTCGAAAACGATGGGCGCATGGAGCAATCCATCCTCGCCGCGGCGTGTTGCAGCTGAGGCTGCATTGATGAAGAATGTCTTCTTTGAGCGATGGATGCCGTAGCCTCGTCAGGAAATGTGCTTGAAATTTCGTACTAGCAAGCTTCTCACATAGTTGAACCTCGAGAAGGCTATGAGTCTAATCAACCGCTTCGCTGTTAGCACAGTCTCACACGAAGAGCTTCTCTTCAACGAGCTGACGAGAAGCTGCCATGCACGTGGCCAAAGACGTGCACCTTCGCAGTGGCGATAGATGGCATGCTTATGTAGAGCATTATTCCCAGATGTAGCCCCAGATAGTCTCAGGCTGTTGCAGCCACATCTGTCCTTTGGCTAACTGCCTTGGCCAACTCTTCACAGCCTGACAGCTCAGGCGGATGCTGTGAGGCCCCGATTTTGGCATGACCTGGGGCCTGCACCGATAGACTGACCTTGTCGCCCAGTATGGTCTGCGATGTCCAAAATGTTTGCGGGAGGGGTGTGTGTGAGGAGCACGTCAATGCCAGTCGGGATTTTGGCCCACTCCTGCAAAGAGGGATTGTAACTGCAACGGAGCGACGGAGCCACAGGCACACAAGGCATGAAAGCTGGGATTCTGTGCCCTGCCTACATGCGAAAACCTGATCAGAAATCGCTGCGACATCCGCCTTCGATCCGAAAAGATGGAGAGGGATGGCCTTGTTTCGGATTTCTGATCTGTTCCCACCCTTGTGTTCCGATCCTCGAAATCTAGCCTACATGAACATCTGAAGTATCAAAGATCAGCCTCAACATTCCCCCAAGTTCTGATGACCACATAGCACTTCTTGTCTAGGATCTGGGGCCTCCTTGTACTCTGATCCGGTTCTTGATCCTGTCTTATAAGGTGGTTGTCGTGAGTTTGTGTCTGGCACTCCAGGAACCTAGGCTTTCCGAAGGGCTCGGACGACAATGACGACGACGACTGTGGCAGTACTTCCAACCATAGAAGAAGAGAAGAAGAAACAAAAAGGAAAAAGGAAGAGAAGGAGGAGGTGGAGGAGGACCATCGCGTAGCATCACGTCTGTAGTCCGCAGTCCTCCTTCAATTCAGCGCCGCGCCTCTGAAACGAAGAGTCAGGTCAAAATGCTGAAAATCAAGCAATGAACTCATCCAACAATCCCACCCCATGAATAACGGCTGTTGGCAAATCATGGGAGTGCTTCAGCTCTCGTCCACGCTCCTGGCTACAGCCTCTGCGCACTCGCGAAGTCTTGCAACCCTGACCACCAAACCCTCGCGCCCGAGCCTCAAGCCAAATGCCATCGGTCGCCTCTGCTACGCTAAATCAAGCAGAAAAAAGTACTTCAGGCCATGCAATATCATCAGTGCGTGTACCATGCTGTGTGACCTACCCTGCGCCAGGATTGCCTGAGGCGGCATGCAAGTGCGACATCGATGCTATGTACAGCTTGTATTTCTTAGGACCTTGTACACATCGGTGGTACCTGGCACATTTGCCTCCCTACACCCTCGGCCATAAACCTTCGAAGCTTGAAGCCGCATCGAAGACCCCCCCTTCACCAAGCCAACACCCCGCGAAAACTCAAAACCCTACACTGCCCTAGAGCGTCTGAGAATCAAAACTCTAAACATCCCTGAATCCTCGGCATGCCTAAACCGCCCTGAACCTCACATCCTTTGAATACCATAATGCAAGTATCATTCCCGTACCGTGCCTATATTCCTACCATAGATTTACGATAACTTATACGACATTCTATATTAGTCGTAGATTTATGCTACCATGCCATAAATGTTGCCTTGCCGCCCAGCTGCCGAACCTTGGGCTGTCGCGGCTGCCAGGGGCTGCCATAGAAGCAGACGCCGGCGATTCGAAGGGCGCGCCCGGATCCTGCCAGGACCTGGTCAGTGCCGGCTTTAGTTGGAGGTCGTTTTGGGGTTTCAGGGATCTTATAGTCTTATACCAGAAGCATAAGCAGATCTGCCCATTCCGGGGTCCAGGCCGTGATTCCTGCCTCTTCCAGCATGGCTGCTACCCTCTCTGGCGACTGAAAGCTTTCGTGCCACGCCTGGTGGAGTATTCAGCCAAGATCGCTCACCATCGGACTCCGTGCCCAGCTGAAGATTGTGCATGGATTCGGGCATGCATGGGCTTAGGGGGAGTTGCGACAGTCCCTGCCTGCCAGTGCTCTTGGTACCAGCTTTCATCGCAGGTCAAATCGTGATTCCCACAAACCTGAGTCAGGAATGTCTGAAAGAGCTTCGAAATCCCGGATCAAACATCTCTCACAATACTCGACATGCGAGAATATGGACTTGCGCTGTAACGAATCGCTTGCACGGCCCAAGGCGGCAGCCAAGAGCTTGTGTCGGAAGGGCTGCTGCGAAGCCCACCGACAGAAATCGGCACACTCCTCGCGCGTCGTGCAATCCCGTTGGAGACGACACAAGGCAGGTTCGTGCCATGCTTGCAAACAAGGGCGATCGAAACACTACTTACCGCCCTCGACGACTCCCCCTGGCAGATTTGGTGACCGAAGTCCTCTTCGGTTCCCTCGTTGCTGAAGTCGCCACAGTGGATGAGCACATCCTGGGCCAGGAAGGCGAGCTCGCAGTATTCGTCATGAGGGAACTGAAACAGCAATGTTCCCGCCCTTTGCATGCCAAGGAGCACCAGAGGGAAGCGAGAGCCGGTGGTGAAGCATGTGCGTGTCCGAGATCGCAACCTCTACCAATTGAGTTGCGACTTCTCCGTGGCTCCAGCCGGCTCCGAAAAAGGGCTTACGACTAGCGGAGTAGCGCTTTTCACCTGGTGCAAGCAAGTGTCGCAGCGCAGAGTCTTGCTTCCGGGCGTGCGATCTGGCACGTCAGAGGCATAGACCCATGCAGCCGCCTCTTCAAAATCCCACTCTACCACAGATCCAATGGTCAATCAGCTCTTTGACATTCATGTCGGGGCATCGGTATTGAACACTGGACTAGCTCACTCATTGGTTGCACGCACAGACTTGCGACAGAGATGTAGAGGCAAGGCACAGCGCATCTTTTTCGCATCTCCGAACGCCTCGTCTCCAAGTCTGAACTCAAAGCAACCAATGCAGCCAACCCCTGCGAGATTGCACTAAGGCCCGCAAGTTCTCGTAGTGGCATTGTAGTGCATGTGGCAAGTCGAAGGTGTCGCAGTCGCCCTCCAGTCCGAACGGGTTGTTGCGGTCAATCTTCAGGAGACGCGCCCTCAACGAGATACGTGCCGCTCGGTCAGGGGGGATGCCTGCATTGTCAATTTCTGGTAACTTCAGGCTAGCAACCATTATGGGCCACAGTAGGGAGATGTATGGTTGCTTGAAATTAGTTCCTCAACCCCTAAACCCTAAACCTTAAGACCTGACGAACTCACAGCCAGGTGCTCGCTCCCAGAAGGGATGAATTCTGCGTGGACATGTAGAGCCGGTCCCAAAGGAGCTCGGAATTCCTGGGCGAGCTTATAGGGACATGTATATGTTTATGTGTCCGTTTGCTCACGGTGTCCCTCTTTGTACCTTTATGTACCCATGTGTGTCTGTGTGTGTGCGTGTGTCATGTGTGGAAAAATTACTTATGTACGGACAGGCAGATAGATAGATGGATAAACAGACAGATAGATAGACAGACAGATGGACAGGTAGATAGATAGGTAGGTAGGTAGGTAGATAGATAGACAGGCAAGTAGATAGATAGACAGATAGATGCTATGTCATCTTCCACAACCCATCTGTATGTATGGTGTATACATATATGAGCAGTATATCACATCTACATTTATACGTCTGTCTTCATTTGCACAACATAGTCTATAATGCTCCAAGTTGCTATGTTATGGCTGTTATATGGACCATCACCAGGCCTCGGTGCCGTAAAACTTCTGGCACAAGGCGTCACCGTAGAACGTGTTCGTCCTCGGCCGCACACGAGCTTGGAAGAGGCTTCCTGGGGCTGGGAGCTTGCGGAGCTCTTCTTCAGAGATTTCTGTTGAGTCCTGATGATGTCTGCGCCGGATTTCAGCAGAGCCCGGTGAGCACCAAGCACCTGCAAGGGAGGGGATGCAAGCACGCACACAATCCTTGGAATTTCACTCAAATGCTTTAGACCACCAGCTTGTCTTGAGATGCAGCTGAGCCACGGCGTCTGGCTTGGTAATAGAGAGCAAGTTCAAGTTGCCTTTGGCAGAGGCCGGGAAGCGAGAGAAAGAAGCCTGCCAGCCAGAGAACTCAACGAGTCCAAACCACCAGGTGTAAGAGTATGATAGTCATTCTCGAGTATCGCCGTTTCGCTCTTGTGTGTACACCTTGCGGCCGTGCGATCCCGGCACTGCACCTCGTCTTTGATCTCGGAGAGTTGTAGGCCCGGTCCCTCTGGCCCGTCCAGCAAGAGAACCTTTGCGCCACAGCGGTTCGACTGTGGTGAGATGCTTCTGTGTTTCGCTTGTGGGCCTTCTGCGCCAGCATGGAGTTCAGCTGAGCAAGGAGGTTACTGCCCACGGCGGTGCCGGCTGCCAGGGCCGTGGAAACCTGCTGCCTCAGTGGCATGCGAGGGCGGTTGTCAGAGTGTCAATCATGATTCCTCGGCAAGGATACATCCACGTCACTTCAGCTGCTAACAGTGTCAGTTGTTGAGCCAAGACCGTAGCTGGAGGGCGCCGGTGCCGCCGCTGCCGGCCTCGCGGCAGGGGTCCGGACGGGCGCAGCCCGCTTCCGGAGACACCTGTTACTGGGGCTGCAATAAAGGGCTGCAATCAATCAATATATATATATATATAGTTATATATACTTATATTTAAAATATATCTATATATTTATACATATATATATATATGATATGTATATATGCGGCAATTGAAAAAGGCGTGCATCTTGCACGCCTTGCCTTGCCCGAAGCGGCCACGTGGGCCATCTTCAGGGACTGGAAGTATGCCTTCTGCAAGGCAGGCCTCACGGCACAAGCACGGGAACAGTGCAAGAAAAGGAAGCCGCGCAGAAAACGCAGCGAGCGGAGAGCCATGAAATCGGGCACCCGGGCGTCGCGAGGGGGCCGCGCTTCTCCAGGTACTCCTTCTGGGCCTCCTTGGCGGCGGCCTTGCACTCCGGCAAGTCCCACCAGGCCTGCCGGCGCCACTGAGCCCAACTGACCCGGGCTGGGGGCGGGGGGAAAGGGGGGGCCCCACCTCTTGGCCGGAGGTGTCCTTCGGGACCGTGGCCTTGCGAGGGCCGCTGATAGCGCGGTTGTGCCATCGATAACGGAAATTATACGCGAATTTCACACCCCCATCCTAGTTAAAGAGCGCGACGGGAAAAAGGGGCGGTGTGTAAATACTGTAATTATCTTCATCCCTGTCAAGGGCGCCAGCCTGGAGCGGGAGGCACACGGTGGCGCCACTTCGGAAGCTCAGGAAGCCCATGAAGCTCTTGAGGACGGCAGCGTCCTTGCCACTGTTCAGGATCACCTCAGATGGGAGCTCTTCCGTCTTTCGATGTCAGTAGATGTCATTAGATTCATGATCCCCTCAGCCCTCCCCTATCTGTCGACACACACGAGCCCAGGCCCCAGCATCTTCGCAGCGCTGCCGCGTCTCCTTGTCCAGGTCACCGTAGAGGGGGAGGTTGCCGGCGTCGGCGAGGGCCACGTTGAGACCTCTCTGCGGAACCCTGCATAAAACCTTCCTGTCTTGCCCCCTTAAAGCCCTTCCCTCCCCCCGTCCTTTCGGAATGGCATGCTGAAGGAAGATGGTGTGCAAGGCCTGTGACTAAAAGGTGACGTAAGTCTCGGTCACTGGCAAATGGGCGTGCCTCTCTGAGCTTCGTGAGCCGCCCGAAGGCCGCGCTGAGGTTGCTAACACCCGCCGCCACACTCGCATGCGGGCAGGTACGCCTGACTTCTGCGATGGCCGAGATCACATCCTGAGCTCAAGACGATCTGCTTTTCTTTTGGGTTAAGAGTCTCTTCGGGCCCGAGGCACCGCCGGATGCTCGTCGGGTCGCAAGCTCTGGAGGTGGCAATCCAAGATGATGTCCTGGACAGAACCCTGGTTCTGCTGCTTGCTGAAGGGCTAGTGCGGCTAGTGGGATCGTTTGATCTCTCCTCGGGAGGGAAGTCCAACTTCTGCCGCAGAAGGCGGTAGCTCTTCTGAAGGGCAGCCACCTTGTCCTGACGTCACAAACGGAGGGACCTCTAAGAGTCTTCAACATGGATCACCATCCGTGAGAAGAGGATCCTTGGAGGTGACGCAGCGGCCCTCTTCGCTGATAGCCATCACGACCACGGCTGCGCCGTGCTTCAGGCACTCCTAGCACAACCAGGCTGATCCTTTGCCATCCCGCAAGATCAGGTCATGCGTCCTTGGCGATTTTCAGAAACTCCTCTTCGCCGACCATCAAGCAAATAGCGTTTACCTCAAATGGAAGCAGGTTTTTCACGCAGCTGCTACGGATCGGACTCATACAACATTGATACTACAGTAATAGTTACCACTCTCTGGTGGTCAAGACTTCACAGTGGTTCTGGTCGCTGAGTCGAGCTGCGATGCTGCGGCCCTGCACGCTTGTGAGGCCCTCCCGGAGGCACTTCCACTCTGAGGAGCAGAGCATCAAGGGGGCTTTGGAGACGCGCTCGTCCGCATCGCACATTTCCACGAACTTCCTGAAGACGGCCTTGCTCCCACGGTTGCTTCCATCGTTTGCGATGCCATCCACGCAGATGTCCAGGATGTCTGCGCCCTTCTCCGCGTCCTCTGCACAGACCTCTAGGGCCTTCGTCAAGCTTGCCGGATCCTTCTTGGCCTTGAAGTCATCCACCAAAGCCTTGAAGCCATCTGAAGCCCTGGTGCTCCCACGCTGGCCCACCAGGCTGAAGCCAGAAAACGTGTGAACCTCGTGGCCCGAGAGCATCAAGGTCTTGCTGGCTTCTGGCAGACTGCGTGGGGCTCCCGAGACCTGGAGCTGCACGTGCGTGGGGAGCCCCGTTCCGGAGACGCCCAGCAAGTTCGGCACTCCAGCCTTCATCGCCTTGCTCGCATCGGAGGAGAGGCTCGTAGGAGCCTGGCCCTCCTCACCGAGTCGCAGCCCCGTGAAGCTCTGGCTGACCTTGCAAAGTGCCCCGTAGGCACCCATCACCAAATCGCTCCCCGAGCTTGCCACAAGGCCAACGATCAGGGGCTTCGCATGCTTCACGCTCACGTAGAAGGCATCCAAGCCCTGCCCACCGGGGGTCCGTCCAGTGCTGGGATCCACAACGGCATGGATCAGCATCGGCGGCACGCGCTGCTTCAGCTGGCGGTAGACCTCGCCGGCGGCGTAGATCGCCGCCTTGGCACTCACTGCATCCGACACGGCGTCGAGAGCCAGGAGGTCCACACCGCCCTCTGCCAGTCCTGCAGCCAGACACACATAGCGACATCACATGCGCTTCTGGTACTCCGCCCCTGTTCCCCTCCCCACCGCTCCTTTGATCTGCTCACTGTAGGCCTCGACGAGGTCGTCGAAGCTGACGCCGCGTGTGCGATTCTTTCCGCCTGCTCAAGGCAGATCAGGATCACAAGACCAAGATATCTCTTGAGGCTTTGAGGCAGGACAAGAGAGACAGGCGCACCGAGCAAGAGGTTGCTGTTGGGGCCGATCAAGCCAGCCACCAAGCGAGGCTTCCGGGGATCCTGCTTGGTGATGTCCTAAGCGGCGAGGTGCTATATGTGCCGTGCAGCCCTTCTTGAACTCGGTCCCTCCCTGGGCATGCGGCAGCTGCTGCACGCTTGGCCAGCATGGCGGCTGTCTTGTTCATTTCCGCAACGAACTTTGAGGTCTTAAAGTCTCGTTGAGCCTCCAAGTCTTCAACACGAAGCAACCGTATTCTACTTTCTCGCCCTCGTTCAAGGTTGGCATGCCGCTGAGCGCACGGCCAGTGCGTTTGCGTTCAAGGTGTTTGTACCTGAAGAGCGCCGTGAAAGAAAGATAAACCCTACTTATGTTGAACCACAAGAGGGCCATGTCATCCAGTCTCAGTTCCTTCACCTGGCGTGCCTGGCTTCTGAGTTCTGTGCAGCAGATGTCTGCACCAGCTTTCAAATAGTCTTTGTGGGTGTCCTCACCAAGTGCCAAGGGTCAAGCTGAGACAGGCCGTTGTGAATAGGATTCGTTCAATTCAAAAGCCTCGATCCCTCCAGCCCCCCGTGAAGGTCCAGCACCAAATTCGGCTTTGAGAGTGACAGCAGATCCACGTTTCCCAGCTGAGATGCCGAGTCACGAAGCACCTGGCTTGCCCGTGCTACCAAGAACGCCAAGATCTTCCAACTGCCACACGAAGAGCACGCGCTCTCAGTCTTTGCCGCTGGCCTTGGCCCGCTCACCACGGTAGTCCGCCTGGCAAGTGGTCAAATCAAGAGTTTCGCAAAGCTTCGGTTTGCTTCCCAGGAAAAAGCGCGCTCCCGGCCCTCTGCCTCGGAGAGGCCAGCAGCCTTGAGCTTGGGCCCAGGGCCAGCATCCATCACCAGCGGCCGCTTTCGCATCTCCTGACAAAGGTGTATGGGACAAGAGAGCTTATACCGAGATTTTTGAGCCGCCCCAGGACGGCCTCAGCGAGGTAGAGAGCCACGTCAGCCCCACTCAGCTTGGCCTTCCCCATGACGTTCTGCGCCAGCTTCTCCTCGCGGCTGAGAGCGGTTTGCCCATGCGCCCTTTTTTCATGGAAGGCACAAATAGTCATATGGTCTATACTGTCGGCTGCAGTCATGGAAATGCAGATGCATGCTGAACTTCAGGGGCGAGCGGCAGCATCGACCTTGCTGGCGGGAAGGCGGCAGAAGTCCATCCTCGCAGGGCGGAAGAAGCGGTGAGAGCAGAGGTTTTGGGTACGAGTAGAAACAGAGAGATGGTTACAGCTACATAGCAGAGAGATTGGCCGTCCCAGACCTCTCGGCAGCAACGGACGGGTCTGCAGCAACCTCTTGTGCAGGAACCACGGCCACCTTCTGCGCGAGGGCCTGCAGCGCCTTCTTCTGTTCGGGGGCATTGAGGTGTGGCTCAGCAGCAAAGAACGTCCCAGGCTTCCCATCCAAGGCAGACACCAAGTTGGAGGGGGGACTCGAGGTCTTGGGTGGACGTTTGATGGGGAAGCACGTGCCAGCTGGGAGCAGATTCGTGTTCACGCTCGGCAAGTTCTCCGATGGCTTTGCAAAGCTGGGAAATGGGCCGCGTGGCCAAGCCTTCCGCAACTTCTCGAAAGCCATCTGCCGCTCCAAAGGCGACATGTCGATCAGGGCCCTGCACTCCGTGATCACCCGGTTCTTGCTCTCCTCATTCATCATGGCAAAATGCTTGGCCTCCTCCTCTGGAAAGCCCAGCATGTCCACCAACATCTCTTCCGAGGCGTGTGCCAACTCCTCTAAAGGTGGGATCTCTTTTACGGAGGTCCGAGGACGCCTTCGGGCCCTCCTCTTCGCCGTGTCTGTCTCTGCTGCTGCCGCGGCCAAGTCCATGCGCTGCTTCGCCAAAGGTTTCTCGTACATCTCCGACAACTTCGCCCAACCAGACAAGGGCGGCTCCTCTCGTGCGGCCTGCACCGGCTGCGGCATCTGGAAGGACATCCCTGCGCTCTCCTTGAGAGCCTCTGCGATGTTCAGGGTCGACAAGCCCTCCATGTCCACGACTATCATGTCTCGGCCGTTCTCGCGGATGTTCACCCAGCCGCTTGGGGGGCCCCGCATGGAGAAGTCGGTGAAGCTGAGGCGGTTTCCAACTACCTGCACCTCCTCCACCACCGCCCCTTGAGGTAGGGTCCCTGGAAGGATCGGAGACGATTCGGCCACTCCCTGCCACACCGTCAAGCCACTCTTTGGGGCTCCAACGACCTTCCAAAAGCGCCCAGGACGCGGATAGGAGGAGTTCCCGGTTTGCAGAGGCGGAGCCTCAACCTGCGGAGGTGGTCTCCACTTCTCGGAGCCCTTCTTCCTCTTAGATGTTCCATCCAAGTCGTCTTCGGCCGCCGGGGCAGCGCTTGCTGCCGCTCCTGCCTTTTTCTCGACTCGCGCGAGCAGGTCGACGCTGCCGTCCCTGACGTCTACCTTCAAGTTTGAGATCACTTATAGCTGCTAGCTGACGAGCAATCCTTTCCCAAGATTGGAGAAACCCTCGTACAAATCCGGAGAGCCAAGGTGCCCAACCGGTGTACGGCCCCCGTCCAGACAGTCGAAGGAAGCGCAGCCGATTGCCCTTCAACTCCTGCTCTTCCACGACCTCATCGACGAAAGAAAAGATGACATCTCTCCGATTGCACCGGACCTGAGCTCCCGACGGCTCCCGCAGGCAGGACCTCTGGCAGTATACGGCAGTACTCCTGCAAAAAGGGCGGCAAGGCTCAGCTCAGTAGCTCAGGCTCAAATTGCGCATGCGCAAGTCGCTCCGTCGCTCCTCGAGACCTTCTCTGGCAATCACGCCCTCCCTCTCCAGAACCTTCCACCGCTGGCCTTTCACCATGGCCTGAGCGCAGCCACGCTGGGACAGCCCAGAAGGTTCAGACGGGCCACGGACCCGTGGAGAGATACCACGGCACTGTCGCAAAGCGATGTCTGGACAAACAAGCAGAATCAAGCAGATATACAGACTATTCCAGAAGTTGCTAATGGTAGAACCGGTAGAGGAGATGTCATCCGCCCAGTAATATAACACATGCACGCATTCGTTCGATGAGTTAGCTTAGTGGCTTAGTTACACTGCATGGATTGTGCTACACTGACGGGACAGTGGGAGAGGGAGAGCAACAGTCACAGAGAGAGGGAGAGGAGCGAGAGCGAGAGCGTAAGCGCGAGCGAGGGAGGCAGGGACAGACGGACAGACAGACATTTTGCCAGACAGACAGCCAGCCAGCCAGGCAGACAGACGGAAAAAGGGGACGTAAGTGACATAACGACGTGTGAGTGTATGGTGAGACTACGACTGGCTAGCATAACACCTGCAATGGCAGTATGTATCACATACGAGATGTCTTTTTTGTATTTGCACGTCAACCACTGGGCTCTTGCATATCCATGTCCAACTCCGCTGTGCCAAGTCCACTCAGCCCCCTTGGCTCCCGACAGCGGCACGCGGAGCTCCGGTGCGAGCAAAGCGGGGTTCGGGTGATATTTCTACGCAAGTTTTGGATGGTTGGTTGAGGGTTAGCCTGGAGTTTAGTCTGAGTCTCGCCCCGCCTCTGACAAGTTGTGGTGTAAGCCTCGCTGGCCTAGCTCCTATCTCAGGGCCGGGAACTGGGCCACAGGGCCGAATGCTCAAATCCAACAAGTGCCGTGCTCAAGCTCTCCGGCAAAACGGCAGTATCAGTAGCATCGAATTCAACCTTTTTCTCGACATCGTTGGGACTCGTTATCTCGTCGGAAGCTCTCCACGCCTCTCCTCTTCTGGGAGAGCTTCTTCAGCTGCGCGCGCGTGTGTCGGGGCGCCCCGTCACACCGAGTGATCGCGACCTCAAGGCGCAAGCCGCACTCCAAGATCGCTCTGACTCAACGGGTGCGGCTCCTACTCCCGAGAAAGTTGGTAGTTCTGCCAACGCTCCCTGTTCCACGCAGAGTGCCTTCCCGGCGAGCCCGGCTGGCGGGCATGTGGAGATCGTCGTGAGTCAGGCCGTGCGCGCGGCCTCGTTAAAAAGGAAGTGACAAAGGCTTCCAAAAACGTGCGGCCGGAGGGACTGCTGGATCTCGTGGTCTCGTGAAAAGAAGGGTGAAATTGAAGGGAAGGATGCTTTGCCCTATACTTCTCCCAAGCGGCACGTGGGCAGGAAGCCCAGGTGATTGCCGAGGCCTTTGCCGGAATGCTCGTCAAGGTCGTCTTCGCCCGCAGGGCGAACGTCCCGTAGCTTGCTGAGCCTTAGCTTTTGAGCAAAAGGACCCCCCCCCCCCTTTTCAGGTGCCCTGGGGGCTCAGTGTAGGCCCCGCGCCTCGGTGGACATCGAGGGTCCTGCGGAGCTGTGACACTTCAGCCGGTACGTAGAAGTGTGTCTTCGGCGTCCGAGACCTACAGATACACCTACTGTGCCGCAACCCTACAACGTTGAGAGTGGACCGATCAAAGCATACTCTCCTCCCACAGGAGGGTCGGATGCAACACCTCAGTCGAAGCAGGCGCAGGACACGGAACTGCTTGCGGCGGACTTGTCTGGAAAGGGATCTACAGACAAAAAGATCAACAAAATCACAAACAGAGAGGCAGAAGGCAGACGCCCCGATGGACGTGGGGAGCGAGGCCAACAGCTGTGCGGATGGATGGCTGAAGAAAACGGGCATGGAAAAGCGAACAAGGGCCGCACGTCTGCGGGAGTCTCTGCTGTGGCGTCGTAGTAGGTCTTCAGGAGCTGCCTGAACGGCTCCGATGCAACGAGGGAGAAGAACATACTTTCTGAAACTGCCGGGAAGATTAGCCTCGAATCATGAATCAATGAGCTAGAACGTGTTCTTAGCCTTGTCTTTTTCAATCTTCGGAGAGGGATCTACCAGCCCCTCCAACCCCCTGATACGGTGAATCTCCTCGTCTCCGCCTACGACCCCAGTTTGTTTTTTGTTCTTTTGCCCGAACTTTCTTGGGCCCGAACTGGCCCAAAACCGACCCTCTTTCTTGACTTCCTTGCGTCCCAGCGACGGAACTGGCAGGGAACTATGCAGCCGGGATCGCCAGGGAGCCTGAAGCAGGGGCTCCGGGCTACCGAGAGAGAAGATGAGAGAGACGTCAGTTCGAATCTAGTGGGATTTACTGACACAGCATGATAAGCTGGAAGTGTTGAGGATTCCGGGTACCGGGATGATGATCCATGCCTTCCGGATTGCGGCCGCTTGATTGAAGCTGACAACTGCAGATGGGTCCGAGCTCCAGCCCCCATGGGCTTCGAGTGCACGACAGCCAACTCGGCGAGTCATATGCTTCCAATTTTGGATCGTAAGGTCACAAAAATATATGATATTACAATTATTGCTGAAGTGCATGCCTCTGG